GTCTCAGTATTCTAGTATCATTGGAATTCAGGAAACCTATGATTGACTCTGGATGACCATGGGCAATCAGTTAACCTTTCTAGGGTTCAGTTGCTTCATTTACAAAATGGGAATGATAATATTTGTCCTGTCTACTTTTTTTACATAGGGTGTTATGAAGATCAAATGAGCTAATAGTTCTCAAAGCACTCTTAAAAGTATGAAGATCTATATGAATCTAAGCAGTGATATGCTGGTATTAACAACCAACTCTTCACCAAAAAAAAATGAACACACAATTTTAAATTTAATCTGAATTGTAAACATTTTCTCCATCAATTTCTTAAGTCTAGAAAATCAACAAAACAATTATAAATCAAGCCCTGATTTCTAGCATTTGCTGACTTCCAAGGTATAAATGTTCACACTGAAAATTTAATAATAGCATCTAGCTGACTGCAGCACACCCCTGAATATAAGGCAACGTGGTATTCATAGGAAATGAGGTCCCTTCTTGCTTCTGATGTTCCCCATTCGTATAATTTCTAGCATCAGAAAAGTGAAAATTGGTTGTAATGGAGGTGACTTTGACATCACCCAGCTGGAGAAGGAAACAAGCACTCCTCCCTTCCAGAAAAGGTACTGTGGACAGAATAGCATAAAGTTCACACATAATAGATTTAGAGCTTCAAGGCACCTTACGTGTCTTCTAGTCCAACTCCGTTATTTGGCAGATGAGAAAACTGAGGCCCAGAGAGGTTAAATAACATACCTAACTTCACACAGGTAGAAAATGGCAGTCAGGATTCAAACTCAGATTCTCTGACTCCAAATCTAGTATTCTTTTCCCTGTACTATTCCTCTGTCTGGCAGACTGTTTCTACCCTCCCCTATCCCATGCTCCAACTTAGGTTTAACTCCTTTAGGAGCAGGACAAAAACTGTTGCAACTCCTAGATACTTCTTCCACCTAGGGCAGTGGTTCCCAAACGTAGGATCCACAAGATCAAAGCTTTTCCTAATAATGCTAAGATGTTACTTGCCTATTAAAATACTCCTCCCTTCTCCAACTACATGTCCGCATGAGGCCAAATTTTCTTCATATAGTTCAACCAAAACAAATTTAGCATTAGATTGAATAAAGAAGTAAATATGAGAATCCAGCTGTCTTCTATTATGCTAGACTAAAGAAATTTGTGAAACTACATAAAACAATGCCACTCTTCTCACTATTTTTTTATTTTGTAAAATAGTTATTTTTCATTAAATGTTATTTATGTTAACATATAATAGGTTTATTACTGTTACCTTAAATGAATTAGCTGTTTTAAAATTTTGACAGTTTTGATTTCTAATATGGTAAATATCAATAGATATAACCCCATAAACAAAAACTCTTTGAGGTCCTTAATAATTTTTAATTGTGTAAAGGGGTTCATGAAACCAAAAAGTTTGAGAGCCTCTAGTCTTGTGACAACTACCTGATTCTCCCTGTTTCCATAAAACTATATTTCTTGGGTCAATTCTGCCACTTAGAACTTCAATTAATAACAGTACAGATGTAGTTCTTTAAAGTTTGCAAATTGCTTTATGTAGAAAACTGAGACTAAAAGGGTCTAAGTGGCTTGTCTAAGGTCACACAGCTAGTAAATGTATGAGATAAAATTTGAATTCAGGCCTTCCTGACTCCAATCCTAGCACTCAATCCACTGTGCTACCTAGCTTCCTCAATTAGTCCTAGAAATAAAAAAAAAAATTTTTTTTTTAAAGTTAATTTAAAAAAAAAAACAGTCCTAGAAATCCCACAGTGGTTATTCTTAGCCAAAGCCAGCTCAGGAAGTGTATCCCATTATCTTCCTTTACTAAGTTGTGATACTCCAATTTGAGACTTAAGGTGACAAGACTAACCCTTCTGTCTTTTCCAAAATACCGATTACTTATGGTAGCCGAGTTTCTCTAAAGATACATTGTCATTGGCAGCTGTTATTACTCCTAAGAGAAACCGAGAAAAATATCCCTACCCTAAAGTAATCTCTCTCTCATCTGACTGAACTAACAGTATTTTCTGTCTTGCTAAACAGTCTACCTTGTGTTACAGATATTTGTGTATGTGCCTTATCTCCCCTACTATACCATAACATGCTTCATAGGATACAAATCACTTTATTTTATCTCCATACCTCCCTACTTGTGTTCTGCACGTAGTAAGCCCTTTGTAAATTTCTGTTGAATGAACACCAAGAAAAGTTTCAGCATACTACGAGACCTGAGGGACAAAGTTTATTCCCTTTACCTTCAGTTTAGGGATGGCTTGGGTGTTGCCAGATGTGGTCCCTCAAAAAGTACTGTTGCCTCTTTTGAGAGCATCTTCATCACAAGAATGACATGTGCTGGTGTCACTGTTAGCTGTTCCTAATTCTGAGCCTTAGGGGGGAGGGGGAAAAAGGGAGAAGGGAGAAGGAAGGCTTTCTTGACTCCCACCACTTCCAAAAACAAAACATACTATTGCCTCCATTATTTTGCCAGAAATTTGTCACTAAAAGTTTTTAATAGAATAAAATTTATTGGTGTCTTTTGTTTTTACATCATTTGTTTTGAATTTCCTTCTATTTTCATAGCTCCAAATTGTTTTCCAAAGTAGTTGTACTAATTCATAGTCCCACCAATAAAACATTCCCTGTGCCTATCTTTCCCCAACACCTTTATTGTTGACTCTTCCCATCTTTTATCACCTTTGCCAATTTGCTGAGTATGAGGTGAAAGCTCAGGGCTGGTTTTATGTGCATTTCTCTTACACTTAATGATTTGGAGCATTCTTTCACATTTTATAATTCTTTTTTTGAGAACTATTTGTTCATAGCCTTTGTTTGACTGCGTATCTATTGAGGCATTTGTTATTAATTCTTAATGTCTCTGCCAATGAGACTTCTAAACCTAGAGCATGGATGGTCTACCTGCCCTTCTTACTGACACTGGCCTAATCTAGGCTTCCATCAGTAGAGATAATGTACCACTCAGTTCTTTGTTGCTGTTATTGTTGTTGTGTACTTATATTTCATTGCCCCCCAATTACCTGTTAAAACAATTTTTAAAAAGTTTTGAGTTCCAAATTCTGTCCCTCCTTCCCCTCCCCCCTCCCTTGGCATAGGAAGTCCCTACTTAGTTCTCACTGAGCCTTTTTCTCTGCTGGCCTCCCTCTCCAGAGGTGCCTATGCTAGTCATCTCAGACCTCCTAACTTCCAGCCCACTGTTTTTCATTGGCTGAAGAGGAAAACAGGAAGAATTCAAATGCAGTTAATGAAACTTGTCAAGGGAATTTCTCTGCTAGGGATCCACCAACTAGCTGAGCAAGTGACTGACTCAGCTGGCTAACCTTTTATGAGCATAGCTTGAGAGAGCTCCTTCCTGAGCATCACCAGTGGGGATTCTCCTCCAGAAAAAAATTGAAACCTCTTCTAGGATAGCTTGTTCCTACCACAGTGAACCTCAGCACTTTGGTATGTTGTCAACAAATTGGGTTTATTTCTCTTTAAGAAATTGGAGGGGGGAGGGGAGAGAGGCAGTGCTGAGGCATTTGTGAAGGTTTTGAAAGAGCTTTCATGCATCATGAGCAACTCAGCCTTTGTGGGCTTTTTTTTTTCTTTAATGACAAGCTACTCATAAAACTGACCTGTGCAATATAGTGAACATATGCGAAGGTATACAGATGACTTTAAGGAGAGGTAATAACTGATTTCCTAGCTACTCCACCCCTCCAACTGAAAGTATTGACAATGAATTGGTTGCCTCCTGTAAGAGAAAGGCAACATAACATAGCAATGCTGGATTTAGAGTCAGAGGTCCTGGGTTGAAATCCATGCTCTGGCACTTATTTTGTGTGTGACCCTGGGCAAGTTACCCTCCCTGGACTAGTTTCCTCACCTGTAACCTGAGGAGATTGGATTAAATCACCTCCAAGGAACCTTCCACCTTGAAATTTGCGATTCCATGACCCATGCTCTGCCTGGTCCCTCACCCATGGGATGTGGAAAATCTCTTCAGAAGGATCACTTAACTTCTGGTCTCTAGGATCAGTTTTTAAAGAATACAGATGCTAAGCTGCCCTGTTAAGACTGAGCTCCTGACGGTATAGTATTCTGAAGTCCAAAACCAATGGTAAAGTCCCCATATAACATCAATTTGATGTAGGACATAGAAACCTGGACCTGGGGTCAGAACACCTGGTTTTAAGGTCCCAGTTCGGGTATTTATTGTATGACCTTAAACAAATCACTTCAGTGTACTGAGCTTCAGTTACTCATTTATCAAATGGGGATATTAGACATACTACTGTCTCACAGTGATGTGGTGAGGAAAGTACTGTAAAGTGTGAAACACTATAAATGTAAGCTCCTGTTATCATTTGGGGAACTTTACCTAACCCTGGACAGGGGAGAGTCTCACTTACAGAAAGATGAATCTGAATTGAGTGGCAGCATGGCAAAGTATATAGCTAGCTATGGAATCCCGAAGGGCTGAGAAAAACATACTGGCTGTGTGACCCCAGGCAAGTGGCGTAACTTCTCAATGCTCTAGGCAATTCTGTAAGACTAAGTTTCAGAGCAGGTAGATAATCTACATTGGTAGAGGGAGTCTCCTTTGTGGGAGTTCCCTACACTAATAATATCACAGATTTGATCCAAAAAAAAAAAAATCTTTAATGAGGGAAGACCACTAGCATTCTGCTTCCTCTTCGGCCAGGAGAAATTCCACGTGGTACACCATTCAGGGCCCCTTATCAACATTGCTCTAGAAGTGGACAAAAAGGACTCTCTAAGGGCAACATGAGGAGGCCTCTTTTAAGTAAAATGATCACTTTGAGAATTGAAGAGCTGGATTATGACAAACTGCTTCCTTTTAGTAAAAATTCTTAGGTCTCTCTTTGTTGTTTTTGAAAACTTGTCCTCAAAGGGCTGCCAACAAGATTTTACACCAAAACAGAAGTGAGTGCTATTTAAAATTTTTTTTTCCTTTTCCCCACAGATATGCACTTATTTGGTCACTGTCCAGCACATGATGACTTCTATCTCATAGTATGCAATTTCTGCAATCAGGTCGTCAAGCCCCAGGTTTTCCAGTCTCACTGCGGTAAGTGGAATCTCTATCCCTGGTAGAAACGTTTGCATCCATGGTTCTGAACAGACTGACATCCTTGTTTTTTTTCTGGGAGAAGCAGCTACTACCTCGCTCTACCATCTTCCAGAGTGTCTGGTAGTGGGGAAATTCATCCTCTCCTACCTCTGCTCTCAGGGAAAGTTATTATTCTAGGAACTGCTGGTCTTCTGTCAAACCTCTCGGTCCTGTCATAACAAATGAGGACAAACCTGAGCCTTGTTAGGGAGACCAGGATGTATATTGAAACAGCTCAGATTTAGCCTGGCTTTGTGTCACCTGGTAGAGAACACAAGAAAAGGGAGGTCTGTGCCTTCAGGACTCACTCCAGGCAGATTTGTGTTTTAACTCGAACACCAAAGGAAAGGACCAAAAGCAGAGAATCTCAGTAAGTTTGCATGGAGGAAGTTTTAAATAAAGGACAACCCATCTGGTGAAAGTGAATGATTACCATCAAGAAACTTTTGTGTGTGTTGAAACCAAGTTCAGAATGTCCCTTTTCTAGCATCTCCCTCATTAAAGAATACAAAATTCCTTGGGAATTTCTCTTCTAGATATTTTACTTCTCATTCATTATTATTAACAACATAAATATTACTGATTTTTTTTTTGTCTCATTGTATGCAGAACACTAAGTGCTCTGCAGATACAACAGAAAGAGCCGGTGTGGTCCCTAGTGTGGAGGAGCTGATGCTTTGCTGTTCCCTTAACTGGCTGTGTGACCTTGAGAAGTCACTTAAATTCTCTAGCCCTCAACTTTTCCTCATCTATAAAATGCTGCAAGGTTGGGTGGGTCAGGGAGAGAATTTGGATAGCTCCTTCTCAATCCTTCAAGGACTCATGATTTCATCAATTTAGATACTTCCACTGCCAAGGGAAGTAGCAACTCTACTGCAGATTAATAGGTGATCTTGGAGGCAGCTAGGTGGTGCAGTGGATAGAGTACCACCCCTGAAGTTCAAATCTGGCCTCAGACACATAACACTAACCACCTGTGTGACTCTGGGCAAGTCACTTACCCGGAATTGCCTCATATAAAAAACAACAACAACAACAAAAACCATAAAATAGGTGGTCTTTCAAAGATGCTGCAGCTGAAAAAATCCTTCCCTCTGCAGCCAGCTTGGTGATGAGCTTTCTAAAGGCAGTCAAGCAGATCACAGCAAAGATATTAGGTTGTTTTTAAAGCCTCTCCAGTTTGGTAATGCCTACCAGAGTCGATGTTCTTCCTTTAAGAAGCCAGGGTCACCTCTGTGCTGTAAGGTATACATAGCTACTCTTCATCAGCTGACGCCTCGGTCACAGATGATAAATTATTTTGGCCACAGCATTTCATAAAGACCAGTCAAGCACTGCCCTTTGTCTTCCACACAGTAGGCACTTACTAAATCCCTTTGTTATTGCTTTCCACTGAGATATAAATGAGTTGTGGTCTGCATCAGTGAAAGGAGTACCTAAACGATGACATCATCAGTGCCTGTTGTATGCATTGAAGTACCTCGGTACATAAATATTAGCAATACTTATGGTATTTAAATTCAGGAATGAGCTCCATTCAAGATCTTAGTAGGATCTACAAAATTTTATTCTTTGTCTTTTATAATTTGGATTTAAAGGCAATCTTAAGTTATACAAAGCAGTTAATGGTAACAGTGGAAAGCAGTAGGGGAATGCAATGAGCATACTCCATTTTAGTCAAGAAGCACTGGACTGGGAATCCAGGGATCTGTATTCTAATTTTAAGTCACTCACCAGCTGCTTGGCCCTGTGTAAATCACTTCAGTACTCTAGGCCTCAGTCTCTTTATCTGTGAAATGAAGAGTTTATACTAGACCAGTGGTCATACTGGGGGTCTATGGCCTTACCATTTGGGGGTCATGGACTGACCCTTGTGGAACCATAGATTGACCCCAAAGGGTATGTTATCCACCATTAGGGGAAGGGGAAGATGGGTTACATCCCACTCTCATTTTAGTAGCCAGTTATGAGGCTTGACTCCAACACAAACACATACAAGCTCCTGACCTCTCCTTTCCCTCCCCAACAACCCCCATCCCCACCCTTCTGGGCCAAGTATTGGCCTCTCATTTCTCCTTGTCACCCACAGTAGCTGTTCCACAGGCGCCATTGAGAAAATTTGGCTCCCACACCACGCCTTCCATATCACCTTTGGGCTTGGTCAGGTGCCTTTGTAAGACAGGCTTTGTGCTAAGGGTTAGTGACTAGTGAATAAGAGGCCTGCTTCCCCCCTTTTCATTTTAGGCAAGACTGTAAGTCATGTAAAATGAGCAGGTATAGTTGAATTGTGGTCATCCGCATCTCACTTATCATTACATTATCTTTTCCCCCAATGCCACTCCTCTTCCAGGCTTCCCCATTCATGTCAAGGACACCACCATCCTTCCAATCACCTCTCTTCACAGCCTGGGTGTCATCTTTATTCTTCACTTTCCCTTGCTCTGCATTTTCCAATCAGTTGCCAAATCAGTTCGACCTCCACATCTGTCTGCCACTCAAGGTCAGACTTTTTTGACCCTTCCCTCACACCTATACTATTGCAGTGAGTGCCTGCTTAATCTCTCTGCCTCCAATCTCCCTGTCTGCAGTCCATCCTCCACACAGCTGCAGAAGTGATTCCCCGAAAGCGCACATTTGACTGTGGTCAATTACCTACTCAGTAAATTCCAGTGTCTCTCTGTTGACTCTGGGATCAAACACTATTTCATCTTTATCTTATGCTTTTTTATTTCTATTTTTATATAAGTTTTTATAAAGTATATGATTATTAGTATAGTAGTACATGGATATAATTTATAAATCAATATACATATATTGGGGGTGCATTCTTTTTTTTTTGCTGATAGGGGTGCACGACCAAAAAATTTGGATTCCACTGGACTAGATAAGCTCTCAGGTCCCTTCCTGCTCTAACATTCTTTTTTGTGGCAAAGTGAACATAGAAGGAGCGGCCACGAACCCTAAGGGAGTTGCTTTTCTTGTTCAGTTCTGGCTCGGCAGGTGACCCAGGCTCCTGAATAGTTCATTTCCTCTCTTCTCTGGAGCAAGCTTCATTGAAAGGTAACTCATTAAGTACTAATTGGTACCCAAGTGTTGGCTGGTACGGTGCCCTGTGCATAGTAGGCCCTTAATAAATGTCTTTTGAATTGAATTAAATTGGCTTTAAGGGAAAAAAAATAAACTGAAACTTGGGCAGAAGCAAAAATGGTTGCGGAGGCAGCATTCAGGCTGAGAAACATGATGATCCTAAAATCAAAAGTTATTAATTAAATACTGAATTCACCAGAGGAGTCATCAACCTAGAAATCAGGGAAAGTTGTGAAGTCCCTATATCTAAGTGCTTTTTGATTAATTGATTGATTGATTACTTTTAAATTCAGTCCTACTGCAAGCTCAGGAAAAGCATGGTGACTCCTCATAGCTTTTGTTAGAACCTGGTATTACTTCTCCAAAGTCCCCCCTGCCAGAGAGCCACAAATAATCAGTTTTCTCCTCTATAAAGTTGGGAAGTTGGAGTAGATGATCTCTAAAGTCAGCCCTAAAATTCTGTGATTTTATATATGATGTTAGTTAGTCATTTCTGATCGGTGAGTGGAAGAGAGAGAAGGAGAGAAGAAATGACCTACATTATTGATGTTACTAGTAATACTCTATTAGTAGCATTAGCATTAGTAGCAATCAGCTTAGTTTGGGTCAACCCTCCCAACCTCCCATCTTCCTGCCTCACAGGAAGCCAGCCTTTATTGCCACAGTTTCATTGGGGTCCAACTACAGTTTGTAAATTGAATCATTAAGCCATAGTCATATAAGTGTGCATGTATTAAAATGCTATGAAATACATATTTATAATGCTAAGAAAATACAAAATACAAGGTGCACTTTGGAGCTTAAGGAGTCACCCAGTAGGATAAAGTAGGAGGGCCTGTTTGGGGGTGGCATGAGAAATCCGTTCGTATTTTCATAATGTATTTGTTTCACGCTATTCCCTATTTCTGGAGTACCCTTCCCTTCACTCTCTCTACCTGTTGAAATCCTGCACATTCCTCAAGGCCTAACTCAGATGCCAGTTTGTGAACACTTTGTGTTGAAAATAATTTTCCTTTTCTTTGAACTTGATTATTCATAGCTTGATAATGGGCTCTTACATCATTCTATGCTATTTGTATACATATCTTCTCTACTATATTGTAAACTTCTTGAGAGTAGGAACTGTGTCTTTTCACTTTTGTATTCCCTCCCCCCAACACCTAGGATGGTGTGTTGCACACAGTATTATATGCTAATCTTATCTCCTTACCCCAATTATACACTACCAGAAAGCAATACGTATCCCACTTCTTATATATTCCCCATACAGCCCAGCACAGGGCTAGGCATTCAGTAAATGCTTATTGACTAATTGGTTAGTTAAAAACAAAATAAAGAGTTAGGAGGATGTCCTGAGAATCTGAGGCACCAGGCAACTTAGTAATTAGTGTCTTTCCATTAGAAAAATGAAAAATTCCTTGTCCTTACATAGTAGATATGCATCTTAAGGTCAGCATATGGGCATTTGACCATGATTCATCTTTAGCTTCTAACACTCTAGAGACAAATGTTAACAGCGTCTTGAATGATGAGTTTGACAGATGTTAGTTTCAAACCATAATCCCCAGGTTGGGGTGACTAGTTTGCTAAGAATGAAAATAATTCACATTTATATAGTACGTTAAAGTGTACAGAACACTTTTTTTTTTTCAAAAATTCCATTTCTATTTGGAAATTGCACCATTTCAATTTGGTCTATATAGGATCATCCCATTTCAGCTTGAAGTAACTACTGAATACCTGCCCTCCATTCCAAGTTCAAATACATGGAAGTTGTATAGGAAACAAAAACATCCTTTGGGGCAGCTAGGTGGCGCAGTGGATAGAACACCGGCCCTGAAGTCGGGAGACCTGAGTTCAAATCTGGCCTC